AAGAAGAAGAAGAAGAAGAAGAAGAAGAAGAAGAAGAAGAAGAAGAAGAAGAAGAAGAAGAAGAAGAAAAAGAAGAAGAAGAAGAAGAAGTCAGGCAATGGTGGCGCATGCCTTTAATCCCAGCGCTCGGGAGGCAGAGTCAGGCATATCTCTGTGAGTTTGAGGTCAGCCTGGTCTACAAGAGCTAGTTCCAGGACAGGTTTCAAAAGCTACAGAGAAGCCCTGTCATGAAAAACAAAATCAAAAACAAAAAAAAACATGTCATGTGTGCACTAAGGAACTTTCTTCTGCCATAAAGAAGAACAAAGTTATTTTATTTGCAGAAAAATGGAAGTGTGGTCCCATCCACAGAGCTGGAGACACCTAAACATGATAAAATTCTTTTCAAGCTACCTGTGGATTATAAAATTCACTATTTTAAAACATTCAGTTCAGTGGTTTGGAGTGTAGCTATTCAGCATGTATTCAGAAGTTTAACTGTCAACATTACCTAATCTTAATACATTTTCATTTCTCCTAAAGAAACCCCACATCAGCAATCTCTGTATTTCTCTCTTAGCACCCAAATCCCTGCTTCCTATTCTTACACATTTGTCTCTTCTGGATATTTCGGTAGCATGAATTCTAATTGGACTTAATAATAAAAACATGGAGTCAGATATTAGAGGGCGAAAGCTGAAAGACCAGAGAAGTAGAGCAGCCACCACTAGTTCTGACCTCTACGAAATCTCCTCAGACCAAAAAGGGCCAAGCTCCTGACTCCTCCTACATTATAGTCCTCAGTCTGCCCAGCCATATCCCTTCCTGTCTCCACTTTTCTAGTAGGGGAATTAAAGGCATGCGATTCCAAATACTGGAATTAAAGGTGTGAGCCATCATCTCCTTTCTCTGTTTCTCTTTGTGACTGGATCAATTTTGTGTAGCTCAGGGTGGCCTTGAACTCACAGAGATTCATCTGCCTCTGACTCCCAAGTGCTAGGACTAAAGGTGTGTGCCACCACCGCCTGCTCTCTATGGCTAACTAGTGACCTAGCTCTGCACTCTGATCTTCAGAGAAGCTTTATTAGTTAGATTGCAAACAAAATATGATGGGCACCAAATGTAGCACAGTCTTAATTAGTCTTATTAAATAAAAATTCTGGAGTCAGATATTGGGGTAAATACAGAAATACCAAAGAAGTAAAGGAGTCAGCCACTAGAGAGACTTTTTATTTCTAACAAATCCTTAATCCAAATGGGAAATCCAACCTCTACGATTCCTCAGACTGAACCCTGAGCTTCTACCTTATATTCCTCTCTCCACCCAGTCATATTGCTTCCTGTCTCCACCTCTGTTGTGCTTGGATTAAAGGTGCGAGCCACCACTGCTTGGCTCCGTTTCTCTTTTAGACTGATTCAGTCACGTGTAGCCCAGGGTGGCCTTGAATTCACGGAGATCCATCCTATTTTAGAGTCAAACACCCTGTGGCACATTGTGGCAAGCTTCCTTCATCTGGTGTGCTTTCAGGGTCTCTCCGTGTTTGTAGCATAAATCAATATTTTATTCCTTTTGGTTTTATTTGTCTTTGAGACAAAGCCTCAGGTAGACCGGGCTAGCCCAAAACTTGCTTATATAGGCCAGGCTGGCCTCACTCACAATTGTCCTACTTCTGCCACACACAGCTTTGACTTCCCACTTAATAAGAGTTCTTTAAAGCACAGCAACTGTTTTATTTTAAGGAAGTTGCATTTATATATGCTTCCTCTTTGCTTTCCTTTAAGCCATGGACTAACTCGTGGTTACAAGAATTAAGCTTATGTTGTCTTCTGAGGCTTTAGCCTGTATATAGGGATCAGATCCATTTTGAGTTATTTTTCCATGAAGGCTAATTCCTTCCTCTGAAGGTTGACTCCACGCTATCCCTACCGCAACTACACAGAAGTGATAATTTGCTTCCTAATCCTAAACAGCTGTCATTAAGGAACCCTTACTTTCAAACCCGAGGCAGGCTCTGAGCTGAAGCAGCAGGCCTGAACTATTTCCATGTTCAAAACACTAGCTAGTTTACATTTAGTCTTCTATCTGATCCCTCAATAACCAAGTCAGAAGAACATTGTACACTTTAGAGATGAAAAAGACCGACTTGGAGAAGCAGATGTGTGCCTTGAAATCACACAGGGACCCACCTGGCTGGGCTGGAATTAGACCTGGAGGAGGTTAACTTTGTCGAGAAGGAAACAGATGTCTTGAGTGCTTATCACAGCCCTGTCTCGTGTTTGTTGAGCTTTCCTTTGGGACACTGAAGCCAAGGCTGACAAACTTGTTGTGTGGCCAAGGTTGGCCTTGAGCTCCTGATTCTCCTGCCTTTGCTTCCTAAGTGCTGGGACTATAAGATCTGTGCCGCCACCTCTACTTCCACTGTTCCGTGAACTTGGGTAAGTGACACACACCCCTCTTAGGGTCTCAGTTTTGTCATGGAGAAGAGAAGGAGTTGTGTCCAAACAGCATTAGTAATATTTTATCAAGACTTCAAGTATGTAAGGATAGCAGATTTAAGACTGTGGATAACCTTAAGAGGCAGGGATAATCACTTCCCAGAAAAGGGAGTGGAGGCTCTGAAGCCAGCACCTGCGAACACTCAGCTTGGAAATGTTAGGACTGGGCTAGAAATCTACCTTTCTCTTCACAACCCCTCCATATCCGTAAGTCACCCTTCTTCCTTAACCTTCAATCCCTCCCACCCCCAACTCCATAAAAGTCAACCAATAGCCCTTCCTCGTGGTGTTGTGTGCAGAGTCTTTGGGGGGAGCTGAGGGAGAGAGCAAGACTCAGCCTGACTTCGGACTCCATATTCTATGCCTCTTAAGAGCTGGGGATATTAGGCATGGACCGCCACTCATGGCTCTCTAAGGGACTCTTTATTGAGCTTCCGTATCACGCCAAACCTTGTTATAGGACTGGAATAGAAAATAAGACAAAATCCCAGTTCCCAGCTTATACTCTACCCAAAGGGCAGAGAAACAAAACAAAGCTACACAAACAGGTATTAGACTGATGAGTTAATAAATAGTGGTGATGGTGACTCGGGAGACTTAAGAGGTGACATTTCAGGTTTGGGTTCCTGCCAAAACATATTTGTAAAGACTTGAATGATCCAAAAGAGGTTTATGTGGGACAATTAGGGGATATAGACAGCCTAGGAGAAGCCATTGGCTCATAGGTAAAAAATGGCTTGTAAGAAATTAAATGAAGTCATGTGTCAGTGCAAGGCCAGTAAATGCTGCGGGATTCATTTAGTACAGAAGCTTTTATTGTATGCTCCGTGCCACCAATAGCAGTGAGCGCGGAGAATGACCCCGTGCATATATAATCCCATTTCCCACCATTACGGGAGAAGCAGGTGAAAACTTAATTCCTGTTCACGTTATTATGAATATGCCTTAGATCATCCCTAAGGCTCCGGGTTTTCCAGTCAAGCCTCGACGGCCTCGATCCCTCCTCCTGCCGCCAGGGTGCGCTGCGCCGTTCCTCAGCTGGATGGCAGCTCGCTCTTCCGTACTTCCCTTCTCGCTGCGCAGCTCTTCCGGTAGCGGGCGGAAGCAGGGGGTTTGTGGCTGCAGACGCCGGGGTCCGGAGGCATGGCGTGGGCGGGGCCGGGGGAGGTGTGCACCGAGCAGGCAAGGGCGACCCTTGCCCCGGCCCCATGAGCCAGGACCCGACAGGTGAGGACTTGTCCTTTTCGGCCGGTGGGAGCTCCGCAGCGGGCTCCTCCCCGCATGATAGCCAGGCCCCACGAGCCCCGGCGCCAGGCTTTGCCCGGGGAGGCTCCGCCCTGGGCTTTTCTTTCCGGGGGCGCCCTTGGGCATGTGTGTCTGCCTCTTGGCATCCTTTTCTTGTTTTGTAAGCAGTCGCCAAGTGAGGGGACGTCTGCATTTGCTCTAACGAGGAAAAAACAAAACAAAACAAAAAATCAACTACTTGGTTTCACACATTTAGTGACCCGATTTAGCCAGGCTTTCTTTTATTCCAAAACGTACCAAAGCGTACCAAAGCGTCTTTCATGTGCTGCCCCTAGGGCTAGATAAAGAATAAACCGTTGCGACCGAAGTTGACCTGGTTTCTTCCAATAGAGTACTGTTGAGCGAGGTTCAGCGAGGAGACTCAAACATGAAACACAATCATGCAAGCGAACATGTAAATAAAAGTTGCGACAGAATACGATAGAAAGAGCAAGAAAAAGATGAACCCTCATTTAGGAAGGGTGGTCAAGAAAGATTTTCCAAATATCGACGCTAAAGATGGAACAGGAGAAGTTAAGGCAAGGACCGGGGAGAATGCATTTCGGAAAAGGAAGAGATACCCCTGTGTTTTTCCGCGTTGGCCGAGAAAATGGCTTGAGGTAGGCCCAGGGTTTAAGAAGGGAGCTTGCTATGTGCCAAGCGCTGGCTGTGGTGGGCACACACAGGAGGGGTGTAGCTGACCCAGAAAACTCACTGTAAGTATGCACATAAGTAAAACACAGAGTTGCGGGAAAGGAGAGGCCTGGCTAGTGTGTTGGGATATCAGTCTCACGACGTGAAAGAAGACCTTTGAAGACAAGATGATGAAGCTGATACCCCAGGTCGTTCTCAAAGGTGAAGAATTTGGTTTCTACAAAAGGCAACTTGTTACAGACGACTTGTTACAGACCTCAGTGTTTCTTTCCTAGGGCTAAAGTGGCCATAGGCAATATGTAAATGACTGAGTGTGGTTGTGTTCCAGGGAATGGTTCTTTCCAAAACCAATCAGGGTAGTAGTTTAGAGTCTTGACTCCCTCAGGTCTAGCTCAGCACGCCTTGCCTTTTAGATCCTTATCGGGTGGATGTAGCTTGGATTTGGATAAGCTTGAAACAAAAGGATTGGGAAACAATACCTTTACTATGGGTTGTAGGGTTTCTGGGCTACTTGTTAGCAAAGCCTTTGCCAAACGCGTATTCCCCCCCACCCCCCTCCCCAATCTTCTGATTCCTTTCTGATTATTGGTGTGCATTCTTTCTTTGTTGGCCATTTGTGTGTCTTTGGGGAGATGTCTTCCAAATATTTTATCTGGTTTAATTTTTTTTTTTTTTAAAGAATTGGGTTTTGCTGGGCGGTGGTGGTACACGCCTTTCTAATCCCAGCACTAGGGAGGTAGAGACAGGCGGATCTCTGTGAGTTCGAGGCCAGCCTGGTCTACAAGAGCTAGTTCCAGGACACAGAGAAACCCTGTCTTGAAAAACAAAACAAAGCAAACAAAAAAATTGTGGCTATTCATTGAGTTCTAGGAGTTCTTTAAATATGCTATATATTAACTCCTTGTTATATATTTGGCCAGCAAATATTTCTGTTCATTCTGTAGGTTGCCCTTTCACTTTTGTTTGTTTATTTATTTATTTTGAGACAGCGTTTCTTTGTGTAGCCCTGGCTGTCCTGGAACTCATTCTGTAGACCAGGCTGACCTTGAACTCACAGAGATCTGTCTACGGCTGCCTCCCCAATGCTTAAAGGCTTGTGCCCCCAAGCCTGGCATCCTTTCGCGCTTTCTAACTGCAACTTTTAGCGCCTAGATGTTTTTATGTATTCACGCTTAGCCATTTCTGGTTGTGTTGCCCATGGATTTGGTTTCACGTCATAAAAAGCCATTGCTAGATCCATTTTCATCAAGTTTCCCCCTGTGGTTTCCTTTGGAAGTTTTATAGCTAGAGGTCTTCCACTTAGTTTTTAATTCATTTTGAGTTAATTTTTTTTTTGTAAATGGTGGAAGATAAGGGTATACTTTTATTTTCAAAATTCTTTTGCGTATGATACCCAGTCGTCCAGAAGCCGTGCACTGGAGAAACTCCCCTTTCCTGTTGTGTGACCTTGGCCTTCCTGAACACGAAGCAGTTTTGTCTGTGTGTGAGCTTATTAGGCTTCAGCTGATACCTGGGGGAGCAGCTTCAAGAAGGAGCTGTGCTGTGTCTGAGTTTCAGAGGGCTCAGTCCGGCATTATGGGGAGGGTCTGGCAGACAGGAAGCAGAGGAAAGGGGTGCAGGAAAGGGCCAGAATGAGATCAGCCTCCAAAGTCAAGTGTCCGTGCTTCTCCCACTTAGGTCTTCCACCCGTTGTCACCTCCCAGTAATGCTGCCTTTGAATCCATGAGATATTAACCCATTGGTTAGGCCAGAGTCCTCATGTTGGGAGCTGTGAACTCCCCAGATCCTGAATTTCTGGTAAACAACTTGTAATGCTTGCAGCTGCTCTGAGCACGAGACCCTCAGGAGTTCTTGATGGCGGGGGAGTGGGTTCTGGTGTGTTTGGTTGGGGCGTGGCTATCAGTTAAGGATCCCTATATAAGCTGCCCCTGGACACACTAAAGGGAGCATTCTTGTTTCAAGGATGACCCGTGTCTCTGTCCGTCTGTGAGTCTGTGTGTGTTTCAATCTCCAGCCCCTTGCCCGGTTCACGAACTGTATGGTGGCGCATAGAGCGCAGACAGGCATGGTGCGCTGCACCCTCATAGTCTACTAGTCTCTGGAATCGATGTCCAGACACCGAGAGGCGTGCTTCCCTCATCTCCTGGAGCAGTGCTTCTCAGCCTCTCTAATGCCCTGACCCTCTAATACAGGTCCTCATGTTGTGGTGACTCCCAGTCTTAAAATTATCTGCGTTGCTACTTCTTAACTGTAATTTTGCTACTTATGAATCGTAGTGTAAATATCTGTTTTCTGATGGTTTTAGGTGACCCTGTGAAAGGGTCCTTCAGCCACCAAATGGGTTGTAACCCACAGGTTGAGAACCTAGAGCATGTTGCTAAGATTAATCCTGGTTTATTTTGAGACTGTTCTTTTCAACTGGCCTGTGTAAGCAATGGTTATGCTTTTATTATTATTATGGCTTCGTAATAGGTTCTGGGATGAGGAAATATGAGCATTCCAGTTGTGTTATTTTCCATATCGTCTTAGTTATTTGGCATTCTTTGAGATTTCATATTATTTTCAGGGTGAAATTTTGTGTTTTCACAAAAATCCCATTGGGATTTTGATAGAGATTGCTTTAATCTATAGATCACTTTACAGCCCAGTAGGTGTGTATATGTGCATTCAATGCTACTTTATTTTAAAAAGACAGGGTCTTGGGACTGGGGAAAGTAGCAAAGTTGATAGAGTGCTTGCCTATCTATCACGTACAAGGCTCTAGCTTTGAGACCCAGCGCCCCGTAAATGAGGTGTGGGCGTGCAAGCCGGTAATCCCAACACTGGAGGGTTGGGGCAGAAGGACCAGAAGTTGACGGTCATCCATGGCTTCATGCTAAGTTCGAGGCCTACCTAGGATACGTGAGATTCTGTTTAAAAAATAAACAGACAAAGATAAGATTTCAGTCTGTATTCTGGTCTGATTTTGAATTTGAAGTGATATTCCTGCCTCCTGAGTGGTGGTGTGTGATACCCTGGGAGTGTGATTTTTGTGCTGTTCATGTCTCATGTACTTTGTTGACTTATTCTTTGAAAATTCCTGTTAACTTATACTTGGAAGGTATTCTTTCTGTATTGTATCCTCCTTTTAGATGTTTAGGTTTTGATATGTCAGGATCACTGTGTAACTCTAATCTTGGAAGGAGAAGTACTTGCTGGTCACTGTTGTCCTGGGAGGTCCTGGGTTCAGTAGAGTAAAAGTGATCTGTTTACTTTGCATGTACTTATGTATTAGTACGTTTTGTTCTGTTTTCTTGATTTCTGTTTTTTTTTTCCTATGCAGAGATGTTATAATGGATCATCATGTTTCCACCATTAAACCCCGAAGAATCCAAAATCAGAATGTCATTCACCGCTTAGAACGCCGGCGTATCAGTTCAGGCAGGGCGGGGACCCACTGGCATCAGGTCCGGGTGTTCCACCAGAATGTCTTCCCTAACTTCACCGTCGTCAACGTTGAAAAGCCTCCTTGTTTCTTGCGTAAATTCTCACCTGATGGGCGCTACTTTATTGCTTTTTCTTCTGACCAGACATCTCTTGAAATTTATGAGTACCAGGGCTGTCAGGCAGCCGAGGACCTCTTGCAAGGCTATGAAGGGGAGATCTTGTCCAATGGCAATGACCAGCGGTCAGTCAGCATCCGAGGCCGGCTTTTTGAACGTTTTTTCGTCCTGTTGCACATTACCAATGTAGCAGCCAATGGTGAGCACTTGAACCGGGAGTGTAGCCTCTTCACTGATGACTGCCGGTGTGTCATCGTGGGCTCCGCTGCCTATCTCCCAGATGAACCGCACCCTCCTTTCTATGAGGTCTATCGGAACAGTGAGTCAGTGACCCCCAATCCACGGTCCCCTCTGGAGGACTATTCCCTCCACATCATTGACCTTCACACGGGCCGTTTGTGTGACACACGCACCTTCAAGTGTGACAAAGTGGTCTTGTCACACAACCAGGGGCTGTACTTGTACAAAAACATCCTGGCCATCCTGTCTGTGCAGCAGCAGACCATTCACGTCTTCCAGGTGACGCCTGAAGGCACGTTCATCGATGTGCGGACCATCGGTCGCTTCTGCTATGAGGACGACCTGCTCACGGTGTCAGCCGTTTTCCCGGAGGTGCAGCGGGACAGTCAGACAGGCATGGCCAATCCCTTTAGGGACCCTTTCATCAACTCCCTGAAGCACCGCTTGCTGGTGTACCTGTGGCGCAGGGCCGAGCAGGATGGGAGCCCGATGGCCAAGAGGCGTTTCTTCCAGTACTTTGACCAGCTGCGGCAGCTGCGCATGTGGAAGATGCAGCTGCTGGACGAAAACCATCTGTTCATCAAATACACCAGCGAGGACGTAGTGACCCTGCGGGTCACAGACCCGTCTCAGGTATGGGCCGGGCCCCGCAGGAGTACACACCTTCACGTAACGTCCATTCTTGCTATACCTGAGTTCAGGCTTAAAGTCAGTTTTCTTTTCGTCTGACCTCACATACTAACGTTGACAAATGGAGGGTAAATGTCAAGTCACTGCCATGTAGACAGCCAACTTTGTGGTTCTTAGCTTTGTTCCACGGGGCATTTTCAGTTCCTGTCAGACAGGAGCCCGGATGCTGTAAGGTCGGGGCTTGGACCACATATGTATAATCCTGCCTGGACTTTTATAAGGTGGCTTATTGAACCAAACACGTCTGGCAGTGAGAATGAGCACTCCATGCAAAAGTAGAAATCCTTTGGGGCTCAGTGGTAGAGAGCTTGTCTAACATATGAGCTTTGGGTCCCCAGCACTGAAAAAAAAAAATCTAAACTCCGACCTGGCAGCCAGGTTGATGGAGCACTCACTATGCTGATAATCCCAGCGTGGGAATGTGGAGGCAAAGAGATCTCGGGCTCAAGGGCAGGGAGTTCCAGACCAGTTAGTACCATGTGACCTTGACTCCAAAAACGAAAGGCAGAGAAGTGGTGCTGGGACGGAATCACACAGGCAGTACTGAGACAGTTAAAATACCCTCTGGAAATCCAGGGAACCCTGAACACTTGTCTCTCAAAAGCTCTCCAGTTCTCTGAGTAAGAGGCCTACCTTTCTGTACCTTTGGCTCCCTTACCGAAAGTCAGTTCTCCTGTTTGGAATTCTCTATTTTAGAAATAGAGAACAGTAAAGCAAATAGCAAACTAAGACACTAGCCAGCTCTACCTTCAGGAAGTACTATACATTGGTGGGGGTTGGCTCAGTGGATAAAGCATCTGGCTTATAAACACGAGGGGAGTTTGGATTCCCAGAACCAACTAAGTGCCAGGTGGGTGTGTGTGGTGGCCTGCTTGTAATCCCAGTGCTCAGAAGGTGGAGACAGAGCCAAGTGGCTAATCGGCAAGTTCCGGGTCCCACTGACAGACACCACCTTAATGGATAGGATGGACAGGGACTGAAGAAGGCTCCCAGCATCAGCCTTAGGCCTTTGTGTGCCCAGGTGTGGCCCAGACACACCGGAGTGCACCACATGTGCATGAGAGACAAGGAAGGAAGAAATCATTTCTCAGCCTCGCTCAGCCTGTGGTAAAATATCTTCCAACACCCCACCACACACACCTCCCCATCAGAGCTTGCGCATTCTGAAAAGGGGTGGGTGGCGATTGGATCAGCTTTTCTTTTTCTTCCTTGTTAATGATGAACAGTGTCACTGAGCCACCGCGGTGAGCATCTAGTTCATCTTTCACGTCATGGAAGATGGGTGGTAGAGTCCTTGACTTCTTTCTCCTCCTGTCCTGAGTTTCCCAGTCTGCTGTAGAGGGAAGGCTGACAAGTGTTTGTGTAATTTTATAGTCATATAATTATGAAAGATCCTGCTAAAACCCTGATATGATCAAAGCGGTGTCCTAGTCTATAGATGGGCCATGAGTCAGTCTTTTATTTAGGTTTCAGCTATAATTACCTTTCTATTTTGGAAGGAATAAGTTGTCTGTTATCACTGCGCGAAGATTATCCTTTTTTTCCCTTTGCTAAAAGGTGACCTATTTTTTTCTGGTAGTTCCAGTCAGTTACAGCTAGACACGCTGCTGGGGCTCTGCCCTCTGCTCATGGAGTTTGAAACTCGACACCCAGTCTCTGTGCCCCAGTTGTCCTCTCCTCTCCTCTTCCCGTTTAATTTGATAAGTTCCCATAAGGTTAATGAGTAAAAACTGCATCCATAGGCAAAGCCTTGGTAATATTATGGGTATTATTCTCAGGTTGCCCTCCAGCCTCTTTAATTTGCAGCCAAATTTAATTTCCAGGTGACTACAAAGTCATGTAAAAGGAGCTCTGGGCAGGACTAATTAGTAGTGAGACAGGTGGGCCCAATGGCTCCAAGATGGGTAATAGAGATTTAGACTCAATCAGAGGAGGGTGAAGCACTAATCCTTGTGTCCTGAAGACGTCTTTGAATCCTGCTGGCAGCTTGCAGCTTTACTGCACACTGCAGCATTCACTGCGACACAAACTCAAGGCACCTGGAGCTGTCTGCTAGGCAAGGCAGAGGGAGCACTGGAGTGCCGAGGAAGAGCCCCAGTCACCATGGCCCCATTCAGAAAAAGCCTGCCACCTATGGCATTTGAATGCTTTTCAGGTCCCCCTCTAATCTTAATTGCCAGAAATCTCGGATGTATCTCACAAAAGCTCTTGGCTGAAAGAACTTTTATGGAGAAAGAAATGGAAAATGCCGGTCTGGTTTTTCATTTGTCCATCTGCAGTGTCCTGCGTGGACACAAGTTGCCTGGGCAGTTTGCGCACACAATGTGCTTAAGGTGTCTCTCTGTGTGCTAGAAATATTAAGAGGGAAAAATAAATGCCCCTAAATTGAACTTTCAACTGTACACATAGAAGAGGAAATCATTTACCAACAGGCAGCCCTGGGCTGCAAATCACTTTCTCAGCAGGAAAGAAAATTAAATCTGGCATTTTAAAACTTTTTTTTTTTAATCTTAGGGTGGATTGGGGAACAGGTAGGGGAATAAACATTTGGAAAGAAAAATATTGAATTTGCACAGTTTGAAGTGAAAGATTGAAAGCCTTTTTATATATACACGCTGGCTAGCTTAGTAACCCACGCAGCACGGAGGCCGTGGGAAGTCTAGTGGCATCGGGGCTCTCCACCGATAGAGCCAACGCCACTTCCTCCATTTCTAGACGCTCTGAAGCCATGTTCCTTCCCTCTCTAGTGCCAAGGCTGGGGTCCCTGAACGCATTGTTGTGGGGTGTGGACTTTAAGTCCAGCAGGCAGTTTCCTGGGCACGGGTGTCCCATGCGGTCTGTTTTCTTCTGCAGGCCTCGTTCTTTGTGGTGTACAACATGGTGACGACAGAGGTGATCGCGGTGTTTGAGAACACATCTGATGAGCTGCTGGAGCTCTTTGAGAACTTCTGTGACCTCTTCCGCAATGCTACCCTGCACAGTGAAGTCCAGTTTCCTTGTTCAGCCTCTAGCAACAATTTTGCACGGCAGATCCAGCGCCGGTAAGCTATTCTGCCAGACTTCCCAGGGTTCACTTTCAGTGGTTGGTATGAGGCTGGTAGCCGTTTGTTTCAGGAACTATGTATTCTGTTTGTCCACCTGGCCTTTGGGAAGCAACTCTGTCATGCTCAAGTTTTCCTATCTCTGAGGGCCTGTGTAATTTTTTATGCATCTTCTGGGTCCTTCTTAGGCTATATGTGACCTGCTGAAAGATAGCATCTGTTTATTGCTGTATTCTCAGTGGTGCATTGCCAAGCCCTTAAATATTTGTGGAATGAGCGATGAAGATCATTTTAGAACTGCATATTGAATACAGCCATTGTATCTGTTCTATATAGTAAACCCCTCTAGAAGTAAAGTGCAGGGATAGAGGGCTGAGCCGTAAACCAGAAGACAAGCCAGAAGTCCATGTTATCTAAGAACCGTCTTAGTACATTAGCAGGAAAGGAATAGTTCCTTTGGGCCAAGAACCCATTCTAACTCTGATGTGGTCAGGTAAGGCCTCCTCGTCTTTCATACCTAAATTGCCCTAACCTTGACGAGGCATGGAGAATATCTGTTTTTGACCCCCAAATAGGCCAGATCACATGGAACAGATGAGTCAGAGCAAGCATTGCTGCTTCTGGGAAAGATGAGCAAAAAGGTGACTTAGTGCAGTGGCTCTGTGTGTACAGGGACAGTGGTGGGTTAGATGGAGAGATGCTGACACCTCATTGCTGTCTTCTCGCCAGTGCGCTTACCTTCTGCCTTAGGAGCACGGTTTCCTTCTCAGTCTCACTGTGGAGCCTAAGCTGGTCTTGGACCCAAGGTGATTCACCTTCCTTAGCCTTCCTAGTGCTGGGATTACAGGGCGGGGTACCACTCCTCTCCCTTTCTGGTGGCAGTGCTGTGAACTGAACCTAGGAATCGTCTATCAAAATTAGCTTTTAAGTTAATCATCTCATTAGCATGCTACAGGAGGTAGGTGTCCTCGTTTCTTCCTGTTGCTTTGATAAACACCATGACCAAAAACACCCTGAGGAAGAATGGGTTCATTTCAGCTGAGACTTCTAGGTCACACTCCATTGCTGAAGAAAATCCAAGCTGAGATTCATGGCAGGAACCTGGAGGCAGGAACCTGGAGGCAGGAACCGACATAGAACCACAGAGGAGTGCTGTTTAGTGTCTTGTTCCCAGCTCCTTCCTAGCTGGCTTTTTGATGTAGTCTGGTACCACCTTTCCACAGTGGGGTGGGCCCTCCTTCATTCATCAGTAATTAAAGCAGTTCTCCACAGATGTGGCCACAGGCCAGTACCATCTAGGCGATTCTCATTTAGAATCCATATTCAGCTGGACAGTCGTGGTGCACGCCTTTAATCCCAGCACTTGAAAGGCAGAGGAGGCAGGTGTAGCTCTGTGAGTGTAGTAGGAACGGCGGGCCACTTCCCACCGCCCGCCCGGCTAGCTTTCCCCGAAATAATTACACGAGAACTGTATTCTTTTAAACACTGCTTGGCCCCTTAGTTCCAGCCTCTTATTGGCTAACTCTCACATCTTGATTAACCCATTTCTATTAATGTGTGTAGCACCACGAGGTGGTGGCTTACCAGGAAGGATCTTAACCTGTGTCTGTCTCGGAGAGGAGAGTCATGGCGACTGCCTCACTGCCTTCTTCCCAGCATTCTGTTCTGTCTACTCCACCCACCTATGATCTGACCTATCAGGCCAAGCAGTTTCTTTATTAATTAACCAAGGAAAGCAACAGAAATACAGAAGACTCTCCTACATTATGTGAGTTCGAGGCCAGTCTGGTCTACAAAGCAAGTTCCAGGACAGCTAGGACTGTTACACAGAGAAACCATCTCAAAAAATCCCCCCCCAAAAAAAAAGAAAAGAAGAGAATCCTATATTCAAAGATAATTCCAGATCTGTGAGACTCAAAAATAAAATCATCCTTTCTGTGTCTTTCTGAGGAAGCCTTTGGAAGCTAAGCCACACAGGACAGGGATGGTTTGTCAGCAGCAGAGCCAGAGTTCTGACGGTGCTGAAAGTGATGCTGCAGGATCAGGCCTCACAGATCAGACCTGAGGGCTGAGAGAGTGTATCATTACTGCTGTTCTGGTAGCGCCATCAATGGCATGTGAGCAGAGCTGTTGAAGGAGACCAGGAGCTACCCGTGGTTAACCAGGAAGACAGATAACACTCAGCAGAGGCAATAAGAAACCCAAGGCTGAGGAGTTCTGAGGCCTTTTAAGGACACCAACGAGGCCGCTGGCTGGATTGGAGTGCACAAGGGGTCCTAGCTGGAGATGGGCCGGGGACACAAATGGCTGTCGTACAACTTCAGATGGTGCAGTGTTTGATAGTGTTGCATTTCCTCTCTTTCTCTCTCCTCCATCCTCCTCCTTCCTCTCTTGCCCCCTTTCCCCCTCCCCCCTCCTCCTCTTCCCTCTGGCTCCCTCTGTCTCTTTGCTGCTACCCACTGAGGACTGATCCCAGGGGCCTGTGGTATGTTTGGCAAGTGCTATGTCACTGAGCTATATCCCAGCCATCTTTGTGCATTTTTTATTTTAAGGGGTCTCACTAAATTGCCCAGACTGGTCTAGATCTTGTTCTTGAACTTTCAGTCCTGCCTCCATGTCCCAAATAGCTGGCATTACAGACCTCTGTCAGTAACCAGATGGGTTTCCTTATTTTAAACTGAGAAAACACATGTGTTGTGTGTTGATGGGGCTGATCCTGTAGAGAAAGATACTGCCTTGTATGTGTGAGGAGAGGAGATCTGCCGAGTGCCATGCAGGGATGGATGCTCTGTGGGGAGACCTTAGAGGTTCTCTCTGCTCCCCTGTGTTCATGAGTAACACACCAGAGGTAGATGAGGTAGCTGTGCAGAGTGGGAGGCAGGCCGGACTGTGGAAGCGCAGGGGAATATCCTTCCTCGTCGAAGGCCTGCGTGGGGTTTGTGGCCGTAAGGTCGAAGTGAGCATTACTGTTTGCTTTTCTCCAGCCGCAGGAAACGGAGCGGCACAGGCACAGAAACAGCAGAGCTGAACTTGACTAGAGCACGAATCTAAGACATGGTTCAAGGTTTAGAGCATGCGTGCAGCAGAGCTGTTGCATGGTCAATTGTGGACTGTAAGGTGGCTAACGAAGAGAGGACAACATGGAAGGAAAATGTTGGCGGAGTCAGGGTTTTGAAGGATTGTTGAAGTTGGGGTGTGGAGACTGAATCTGGAGAGACAGAGGATGGCCGGAACATGGGATGGGACACCTTGGGTTACAGTGGTTACAGGTGAGAATGAGGCTGTTAGGGGATGGGAGGCCATGTCGTTAGAAGGATGGCTACTGAGAATTTTGAAGTCACTTAGAATTGGGCAGAGTGACACAGCAAAGGGCTAAGCGCTGCGGATACCAGAGGGATGGCTTCTGTGTTTCAGGCGGTGCGGAGCTGGGAGGATGGAGATATGGTGGGTGTTGCTGAAGACTAGGAACTGCTTCAATGTACAGATCGTGTAGGTTGCCCTGGATGCTTTGGGGTCATCAAAGCCAGGAGCCAACTCCCATCATGTTACTGTCATGTGACAGGGACAGGGACACAGCTCCATGGTGCCGTCTGCAGTAGCCTGAGGAGTTCCTTCACTGGAGTACAAGCAGATCCATGTCATGACAATAGAAAAGAATCTTAGGATGAGCCAGGGCGTAGCAGAATTGGAAGTTATTAGAAGACCTTTTGAGCAGATCTAAGAACAGGGTTAAGAACAAGGGTTAATAGAGAGGCGCTCAGGAAAGGGTGAGACATAGCCACGCGGTTATGGGGCCCTCACCTGAGAGTTGTGGTTAATGTCTTTCCAGTAGCTGTATGTGCTGGTTTTGGTGGCTTCTTGATTATATCTAAAAGGGCCGCTAAGGAGCCTTTCCTTTTCTCTTCCTTTTCTGGCAAATGAGGTTTAGGACGGTTTCCGAGATGCATTGAATAGAACAGCTGATGAAAGCCCTAGTTCACAAGAGCTGCAGGGACAGTGGCGATTTTACACCTTTTTTAAAGCTACTGCGCGTGTGTGGCGTGTGTGAGCGCGAGTGCGTGTGCCATGGCACTCTCGGGCTGTCGGGGGACTCTCTGGAGTTGGCCATCGCCTTCCGCTGCGGGATCAGCTGACTGAAGTCAGGTCAGCTCTCCAGGCTTGTGTGGCACATCCGCCTGCTGAGCCCTCTGGGTTTTAACTGTGAGTACTGAACCGAGGCAGCTGCTGAGAAAGCCTTCCTCACTGGTCCTTTGTTCTAGGTTCAAAGACACGATTATAAATGCCAAGTATGGAGGCCACACGGAGGCTGTGCGTCGGCTGCTCGGCCAGCTCCCCATCAGTGCCCAGTCTTACAGTGGCAGCCCCTACCTGGATTTGTCTCTCTTCAGCTACGATGACAAGTGGGTGTCAGTCATGGAGCGACCCAAGACTTGTGGAGATCACCCGATCAGGTACTTTGTCATGACCACAGCTCCAGACTGCTTCAAATGGAGGGCACCTGCCTTCTCTGTCCTCTTCTCTGACATGGCTCAGTGACTGACAGTCTCTTCTCATGCTTTGGCTAGAAGGAAAGGAAGGTTCGTTCGTTCGTTCTTTCTTTCTTTCTTTCTTTCTTTCTTTCTTTCTTTCTTTCTTTCTTTCTTTCTTTCTTTCCCTCCCTCCCTCCCTCCCTCCCTCCCTCCCTCCCTCCCTCCTTTCTTTCTTTCTTTCTTTCTTTCTTTCTAATTTTTTTTGGTTTTTCGAGACAGGGTTTCTCTGTAGCTTTGGAGCCTGTCCTGGAACTAGCTCTTGTAGACCAGGCTGGCCTCAAACTCACAGAGATCCACCTTCCTCTACCTTCCAAGTGCAGGATTAAAGGTATGCACCACCACCATCTGGCAGGAAGGCTGCTTCTAGTGAGTGCTGAGGGTTCGGATCATTTACGTGTTTTTCTCAGAAGTTAGCTACTGCTGCTCTTGGCTCCCAGTGAAAACATTTTACTCAGATAAATGCTGTTTGCTTTTAAAAGTCTCCATGGAAGCCAGACAGTGATTGATGCACGTCCTTAATCCCAGCACTGGCAGGCAGAGGCAGGTAGATCTTGAGTTTGATGCTAGCTTGTTCAACACAGCGAGTTCCAGGACAACCAGGTCTACAAAGAGAAACCTTGTCTTGAAAATAAAGCAAAACAAAAAATAAAAGCATCCAAGGAAATGAGCTGTATTTTCCATTTTTAATAACCTAATGGTGTTCCTTAACATATTTTGCATCCAGTATATCTTATGGAAATCATTTTATCTTTGTTACTAAGTAGAAAAGGCAGAGATAATTTCTTAGTTGTGTAATATTTTTGTTTGTTTGTTTAGGATTATTTTATATACATTAGTATTTTGTCTACATGTGTGTACGTACACCATCTGGTGCCTACAGATGTCAGAAGAGGGTGTCAGATCCCCTGACCTGGAGTTATGGTTGGTTGTGAACGACCATACTGGCAGTTACAGGTGGTTGTGTGCTACCATGTGGGTGCTGGGAATTGAATCCAGACTCTCTGGTAGAGCAACAAGTACCCTCAACCACTGAGCTATCTGTCTTTATAGCTCCTACTGCTGGGGTCTTAAAATTAGCCCCTTGTAGGCATCTTCTCTCCTGAGAGTCACACCTGTTCCTCTGCATCTGGAGCCTGTGCTGTTATCGATACAACCAAAAGGAACTGGATCTGTCTCTAGTGGGGATTAAAGGCGTGCACCACCACTGCCCGGCTTATGGGTTTACTTTTCTTTTTCTTTTTTCTTGCAGTGACATTATTGTTCATCACCAACTTGTTCATCCGTCATCTTCCTCACATATGGGCTCTGTTCATTGCGTGCTGGGAGTAGTGGCTCCTATGTTTTTCATTCCTCCTGCTTTCCTACAAATTGGTAGTTAGATTTAGAAGCACAAACAGCTCACCTTAAATTATGAACCCCGTATGTGTTGGGAACTAATGTGCTTTTTACGCATAAAAGCACATAATGGGCCTCATTTGATTTAGTCAAATAGATACATCCTTGTCCTTGCCGTTTCCCGTCTTTTCAGTTTGACAAGACGAGCCAGAGCAGCGCACGCGCAGGGCCATTGCTGTGACGAGGCGACTCCCCTCCGTCACGTCGTGCCCTAAGGCTTCTGAAGAGGCCGCGTTGTCAGACGCCTTCAGTGTCAGTTCTGTTCCGGTCTCTGTCAATGTGTGTGTTTGTTCATCTGTAGCTTTACTCACTGCAGGCGCCATGGCTTGCCTGCTGCTTTAGCTTTAGGGATGACCTTCCGTTATGATACACAGTCTGCACACTGACACACTGTTCCCTCAGGTAGACATGCCGTCATCTCTCCAGCCTTCTGCCTACCTCTTCTGTGCATTTTTATATTAGAGCAACTCTGATAATGCCATTGTTAATCATTTAAATTAAATTCTTAGGATATGAATTCTTGGGAATGGTATTATTTTATCAAAGAGTATAAATATCCTTGAGCTCAGGGGTGGCACATTTCCCTAGTATGTGCAGGTCCTGGATTTGAGCCTCAGCTCTGCAATAATAATAATAATAATGATAATAATATAGCAATGATGCAAAGTCTGAGTCCCTTTAGACTTGTTTCTTTATCTGTCTTCTAGAAAAGGAAGTCAGAACAACTCTCCTCCAGCCTGTTCATCATCTCTAGTTTCCCAAATCACAAGCCATTCAGAAATACCTTTTGTCAGTTGTGTTAGGTGGAAAATCCAAATCCAAACCACTAGCCATGTTGTTTGTAGGCAGGTGCCCTGCTGCTGAGCTGTGTCCCTAGCACATGATTTAATTTCTGTATGTGAAAAATAACAGCCTTGAGAGAGAATTTATTTTATTTTTTTACTGAGATACTCTCATGTAGCCCAGGTAAGCTTCAAACTTGCTATATAGCCAAGGCCGGCCTTGGATTCCATATCTCTTGCTCGGTCTTCCAGAGTGCTGGGATTACAGGCATGTATGTGCAAGAATTTGTTCTTAAAACTGGAAATCTTAAAGATTAGCTCAGAGCGGCACTGTTGTAGCCACCAGCCACTTATGGCTGTTGAGCACTTACTGCCAGACGAGGTCACGCTGAGGTATATGCAGGTCTCGAGTACATTTCAGATTTCAGAGACGCAGGGACAGAGCAGCTCATGATTTTTTTGTTTTTTTTGAGTGATTGTGGGTTATAACGACTAAGTAGTATTCTGGATATATTGGATTAAATTAAATATATTACAAAATAAATTCCACTTTTTGTTTTACTTTTTTTCTTTTTAATGTGGCTCTTCAAAGATTTAAAGTTACACATGAAGCTTAGACTTGCTGTTGGCATTTCATTTGTAACGCCAGCTTAGACAGTCTTTTGACAGGAGCTTCTGGAAGCCAGAAAGTTGTAGTTTAGAGTCTCATTCAGGGTCATCTTGAGAAGTGATCACCAATTAAGGACAGGAGTTAACTTTACAATCACTCTGCCTCTAATGTGAACTGCTCAATAAGGTGGCTTGTGGTTCTACTAAGCTGCAGTTGCTGCAAGAGGCCTTTTCCTTTATCAGATGAGCTACTGAGTGTCTCCATCCCCTGCTGTCCAGATTTCAAGATGGCAGCGATAGCAACACCGTGTCTCTTTTCTGTTTAGGTTCTATGCCCGGGACTCTGGCTTGCTGAAGTTTGAGATCCAGGCAGGCTTGCTGGGCCGCCCCATCAACCACACAGTGCGGCGCCTCGTTGCCTTCACCTTTCACCCTTTTGAGCCGTTCGCTATCTCTGTGCAGAGGACTAACGCAGAGTATGTTGTCAACTTCCACATGCGACACTGCTGTACCTCGCTGCCCCACCACAGCCGCACTGCCCAGGACTTCGCCCCTGCTTGACGCCATGGACTCCAGAGCAAAAGCCGCAGGCTGCCAGCTTTGGGGATTCCAGACTGGAAGCCCTCCCCGACCTAAGACAGCGCCTGAGGCACGGGGGACGGAGTGCAACCTAGTGGGCCTTGGTTTTCCTGTTACCTGGCTGATCATTTTTAAAGTTCTCTCGCTTTTCCCTGTGGGAACACTTAGCATTACGTCCATTCTATTTTGTTTACTTAGCATTTTATTATGACTGTGAAGATAGAAGCATTACACCTTCCCCCTGGATGCCAATCTTCGGCATTACGGTCTGAAACCTGCAGCAGGTAAATCATGTTTACTCCTGAGAATTATGTACTCCTTTCCACTTCTCCGACAAGCAGGGCTCTTTATAAGAGAAAATAAAGTCTTGGTATTTTCTTATGAAACTCTCCTTTGCTTGATGTTCCCCTAGTGCTCTGTGGATACTGGGCTGAGAGACAGAAGGCCTGTGAGAGCAACGCGGGCCCTGGATGCAGCAGCTGCTCCTCGGTGTGCTAAGTGGCTAGTAGTGCCCGCATGAAAGGCAGTCATTTGCCAGGATTGTTCCCTCCCCAAGGGCTTTCTGCTGGTAATTGTTAGCACCGGAGACGCGGGGGTAATCACGCGTCCTCATGTGGAAGCATGCCCACATCTGCTGCCCGTGTCAAAGCGGTGGGAGAGCAGGCAGTCCTGTGAGTCTTGGCAGAAACAAACAATGTGTGGCACGTACTGTCCTTGGAGGAGCAGGCGCTGGAAAGCTCCAGGTGTCCCTAAACAGATCAAACCGGCTGCGCCTGGGTGGCTGAGCTCTTGTAGCTCTCCTGTAGACCCCTGCTGGCCCTAGACTGCGTCCCTCTGTGACGTTGTCATCCCGTCTCCTCCAGAGGGCTTGTCAGCCTGTGTAGATCTCATTTGCATAATGTGTCCCCCGGAATAATGTAGTCAGCTTGTTTAGAAACATCTGTCTCAGAAGGCACCTTTGAAATGTTTTGTACCAAAGCAATCTGTAGAAGGAGCCATGGATGCTAGCAGCTGCGTCCTGTATTCCTTCCGCTAGCCAGACTTCTGGGAAGCATAGGAAATGTGATAGGCGATCCTGAGCCGCACCCAAGCCAGTGTTATTAATGTCCTCATCTCTGGTATTGAGTAGCTAAATTTATCCTCCGCCTTCAAGCTCTGAGTACCTCCTATGAATCAGGTTGATATTGTACTAAGAATGAGGAGGGCGAGAAGGATGTGGCTGTTAATTCAACAGAGAAAACCTTTTACAGAGTTTCCCTGAGGACGAGGGAGGGACGTGAAGGAGAAGCAAGGAAGGGAAGACTGGGGAAGAGCCCCTGTAGTTGCATTGTTGAGTGTGTCATGTGACCCAGGGTGGTGCCGCCCACCTTTAAGATGGGTCTTCCCATTTCTACTAGCTCTATCTTGAAACTGTCACTGACACGCCCAGAGCTTTGTCATCCCCCCAAATTATTCTAGCTCCTGTCAAGGTGACAGGATTAACCACCACACCCCTATATTACTTTTTCTTTTTGTCACTATGACCAATTAACCCAACTGAAGCAACTTAGAGCAAGAAGGATCGGTTTTACTTAGCGCAGTGTCCTGATGAAGAAGCGACTGGAGGAGAATCTTCCTTTACTCTCATCTCAGCTGCAAACTCAGAACCAAACGCCTTAGGTAGGAAATGGCCAGCTACAGTCCATCTCCATGGCCCTACATCTCCCAGGTAAGTCTCAGATAGAAAGATTCCACAACCTCCCAAGCTGGCATCACAGATCACTAGGTATTCAGATACAGAAGCACTTGGTTCTGGTTTCTCGTTCTCTTCCCGTCTTTGTGATTGCTCTTTGTTGGTCCCCTTTCCTGGCTTCTCTAAGCCGTGTGTTTAGATGCTGGACTGCTCTAGCACTGGACCTTGGATTCCTAACCTCTTCTTTCCCCTTTTCAGTAGACTTCTCTTTTTTCCTCTGGTTTTACATTCCAGTTCTAGACCGGTGGCTCTCCAAGTTAGAACTCCTGCTGCTCTCACTTTGAGTTCCTGATTCATATAGCCCATGGCTGACACGATCGCTTCACTTGGATATCCAGTAGGTTTTTCAAAACTGGCACATCCCTCATATCATCCTTGTCCTCCCTCCCTCTATTTTTCCTTCAAGAGCCCCCATATGGGACCAGGTGTGGTGGCACATGCCTGTAATCCAACACTGGGAGGCTGAGGCAGGAGGATCAGGAGTTCAAGACCAAACTCAGGTCAGAGGGACTCTGTGGCCAACCTGGGTTAAATGAGACCCTGTTTCAAAACACCTAAACAACTGCCAGGCGGTGGTGGCGCACGCCTTTAATCCCAGCACTCGGGAGGCAGAGGCAGGTGGATCTCTGTGAGTTTGAGGCCAGCCTGGTCTACAGAGTGAGTTCAAGGACAGGCTCCATAGCTACTGAGAAATCCTGTTTCAAACGAACAAACAAACCAAAAAAAAAAAAAATGAACCTGAACAACTAAATAAACAAAATGATTTACCATATGGCTTCAAAACCTATACCCATCAACTGGAGCTCAAATAATAGGACATGCCTTTCTATTCTACTAGCTACCCCTATACCTGACTTCATTCTAGGGGGTTGCCATGTGCAGTCTAAGCCAATTTTAGCAGCCCTGTATTCATTGCCACTGACTAGGACAGGAGCCCAGACCAAAACCTGCTAGTCTATGGGGTTAGTTTAAAGACAGCATGCAATTTAACTCACGTCAATGGCATATTGAGGTATAGTCTTCTGAGGAATATTTCCCTATTAACAGTGGCAGTGAGAGGGGGTAAGCAGGCTTTCCCATAGTCCAAGGCTCTACATTCAAAAGAATCAGCCTTAGGATAAAGTTGACCTAGTGTAAAACAAAGCAGAAACAAGCCCTGCTTATTGATAATATGGCTTGTTGGCCTTGAGATCTATCCTAGGTCCGCATTTCCAGTTCTTTGAGATGATGTCCTTACTGCTTAAAGCTCTTTGATTTGGGTGGTTTGTTGACAGAGGTTTCTGTTTCACCAGGTCCTGCAGTCGTTCAATCCCAAAGAAACACACAGAGGTCTACATTAATTATAAACTGATTGGCCTATTAGCTCAGGCTTCTTATTAACTCTTATAACTTATATTAACTCTTATAACTTATATTCTTGTCTGTGTTAGCCACGTGGCTTGGTACCTTTTTCGGCAAGGCAGTCACATCTTGCTTCCTCTGTGTCTGGGTGACTACTGCAGACTGTCTCTTTCCTCTTCCCAAAATTCTCCTGTTCTGGTTGCCCTGCCTCTACTTCCTGCCTGGCTACTGGCCAATCAGCATTTTATTAAAATACAAGTGACAGGGTACAGACCATTGTCCCACCGCAGGTAGTCTGTTTCCTGCAGGTGAGAGCAGACTAATAGATGTAAAGAGAAAGGTCCTCATAGAAAATTCAGTCTTCATCCTTCTCTTTCTTTCTTTCTTTCTTTCTTTCTTTCTTTCTTTCTTTCTTTCTTTCTTTCTTTCTCTCTCTCTTTCTCTCTTTCTCTCTCTCTCTTTCTCTCTTTCTTTTCTTTCTTTCCTTTTTCCTTCCTTCCTTTCTCCCTCCCTCCCTCACTCTGTCTCTCTCTTCCTCCCTCCCTCCCTCCCTCCCTTTCTCCCATCCCTCCCTCCCTCTCTCTCTCTCTTTTCCTCTTTTCTTTCTTTTCCTTTCTTTCTTCTTTTGAGACAGGCCAGGGTCTTGCTGTGTTACTCAGGCTGACCTTGATCTCCTGGACTCGGGAGATCTTCTTGCCTTGACATCCAGAGTGGCTTACTGCTCCCCAGTGTACAGTTCCACGTGCCTGTCTTAGATTCATGGGATTTGTGGAGGCTGGAGCTTAATGGATCTGGCTACAGTTTCCATGAAGCCAGCTGTCATGGTTCCTGTTCTCGGAGCCTTGTGACAATTTCTGGTGTTCCCATGGCTTCCCTGCAGCCATCCTTGGGTTTCTCTGTGTGCTTCTCATAACTAAAACTGGGGATAAAGCCCTCAACCCGTTGAGTACTTACTTGCTGATACTAAGTTGTCAGTCTTGCTGTATTTGGTGTATTGTTTATTGGCTTTGCTCCTAAAGGATTTAAGGTGACTCTCAGTAAATTCTAGCATCTCCATTCAGTAATAAATGCCCAAGGCATCTCAGGACTCTTGGGAGAACCAAGTTCTTTGTAACTCAAATGTTTACGAAATTGGGAGTGGACTTCAGGGAATGTCTTTCAGATCTAAATCTTCCCCAAGCCTCCTCTCTCCCCTCCACTTGGCAAAGCTGGCACGTTGGCCCCAGAGCTGCTGCTCTGGGCCTTAGAGAGTACTACCATTTAATTTAGCACTGCCTGTTTCGTTTGCAGCCCTTGCAGAGAAGCATAAGTGAGTGGAAAGCCTAAATTAGATAATTTTTAAAAGGGCCGTAGCTTCATTATTTTCGAGTACACAGAGTAACTTAAACCCAGCAATGAAGTGTTCTGTTGTAGCAGCTCTTAGGGACATTTCTTAATGAGTAGATTATAATTATTGCTAATCAGCATAACAGTTCCCCGAAACACGTGCTTTGGAAGCAACCGAGCATATTAACTGCCTTGGATGTTCCAAGGGGGCAATTTTGTGTGCAACGTGAGTTCGCTGTCTACATATCCTTGATCGCTGAAAACCCCTGTTGTTTCAGAGAAAACATTTTAAAGGTTTTCCATATCGGACAACATTCAATTATGTGTGTAGAAAACTGAGAGCTGCACTCTAGGACTGGAGCCGTACATAGTAGGACCGAGATTCCTTATCCTTGGTGCTCTTATCCAATTGTGGGATCAGCTCTGGTTGGCATGGATACCTAGTATCAGCCTTGGCTCTGTCACCTACTAGTCGGGCAACCCTGGGCTTGGTTATCAAAACCTTACCAAGTGTCTGTTTCCTTTCTATGAAATGAGGGTAATTTTCCTACTTCACAGGCCAGACATAAGCACACAGTAGGTGTCAGTGAAAGCTCTAACTGTACCTAGGACTCAACGTCGGCTGCCTACTCTCTTCCCTTTAGACATTTTGGCCTGAAGGGGGAGTTTCTTGTTTCTTCAGCACCTCAGAGAGTGCTCCCAACCCTGGTGACTGAGATCAGCTTGACCCTTCTCCAATTTCAACCCCTGGCTGAGAACTAGTAGCATCTCGAGTTAGGTATCATTCTGCTCCCACAGCCTCTGTTCCCCGCAGAGCTGTAGCTGAGAGGACCCAAGCATCCCTATGCTCTTCACAGCAGTGAAGCTCATTGATTAAAGGGACTTTGGTCTCCCAAGGACTTGTTTCTGCCGTGCTGTTGATTACCGTTGTCCGGAGCCAGAAGCCACACCAAGTGCCTTGCGTAGGAAGGAGTGGAATCCACCCCA